GGCCGCATTGTACCTTGGTTCCGGTCGACATATTTGTATACACGTAACTTACCTACTTTTATAAAATTAGTCGTAATTTTAATCCAGATATACTCGACGTTATTTGTTTACTTATTTGCATAGATCTTGCAATAAATAGTCAATTTAAAATATATGTAAAACAGATGGCCTTAAAGACTTGAAAATAGCCATGAAAACTGATATTAAGCTGTTTTCTTATGAGTTCGTGATGGTCACTGTAGACTTGATGACTTGTTGATAATTGGCTTTGTATTTCATTCAGGCGAAAATCAGGAGGCCTCTCACGAATGATTCGTTGTTTTTTTATCAATATAACTAATATATTATATCTTTGAATAGCCCGACACAATGCACGGATGGCGTAATGGTTTAAGCGGTCACCTCACCGCTTCCTACTGCGCTGAGCGTTGTGGGTTTCGATCCCCAAATGGGCCACTTCGTTTGATCCACAAATTGCTGTTCTGAGTCTGGGTATTCTTGGTGACCGTTTCTTGTATGTCTGTAGTCCCCCGCGACACAGCAAATATTCTTCTAAAAAAATCTACAGAACGCAAAAGGTTAAAACATTTGTTAGTAGACATTTTTGGCTCAAATAAGCACACACCTGTGATTCCGAATTATTCTAAACCATATATAAGAGACGTGTTGTGTGGTAGCCCTCATTGTTACCGTGATCGAGGGCTCTCGGTCCAAAAATCAGTTACGATTCAAAAATAAAATCGGTGGTCTGGTTTAAATTGATGATGAAGTGCCTTTCAGCAATATATTTCTACACTTTTAGTACACTGACTTACTTACTTATCGTGTCGATGGCAACACTTTACACGATTTTGGCGCAGTGCTCGGCGACGCTAATGGCGTTTGGCCTTGCTTGATTCGATGCGATTCTGGGATCGAGGGACATGTTAGCAAGTGGCCCATTGTCTGTGGAGATGCGCCACAGTCGCATTTATTTGCTCTTGGGTGGAAACATCCCACCTTGTTCTTAGATCTGGAGTTTATCTCCTGGAGGTAGTTTTTCTGTCAAGGTGACGAGAGAGAGGGAACTTATTACGTGTACCATATGTTTTCTCTGGACTTGGGAGAGTTGTTATTGTCGGCAGGGGTTATATATGTATTTTCTTTAACAATTGGTGCTCTCTCTCTGTACCTATTAATAATAATATTTACCTAAAACAAATATTAGAGAGAGCTGATGAATTCTCAGATTTAAAAAGACAAACACACATAATTTCCAAATATTTTTTAAATTTAAAAATTTTTGATACACAATTTTATGCATTATGCATGCATATAAATAAGGATTGCCAATATTTACACAACAAATTTAGTAACAATGAGATTTCACAACTTTTTTTATCGGTAAATGAACTGTGTCGAAGAAGATGAGGATTTTACAAGTATCTTAGATTTAAACAGAGTCTATGGTGTAGCTCAGATTGATTCAGTTGTCTTGTAATAGGTGGATTCAAAACTTTGTACATCATCTCTAATTTTAATGGCATTCTCTGTTTGAATTTTCGATTACCTACTAGAGAGAAGATCCAATACTGGTATCTAGGACCTAGAAATACGAATATTTGGTACATTTTTTCAATTTTTATTTATTTAGTGAACATAGGTTAATGGTATGATGAAATTTACATTACTTTTTTCTTAATAATCAATAATGGTGTGCTGAGTACAATCATTTGTTTAATTTTCCTGTAATATGTATGTATTTAAAAAGATTTAATTATTTTTATCAGCAGATTTGTTACCTAGCTCTGCCTAGTTTAGGATCAGGGGACGTAATGTGAGATTCTTTGGCCAGACTGCCCTGTGTGAGATGTATGAAGTTAGTTAGTTAGTTATATATAGTTTATTCTTATTCACCATTAATAATTGAAGATACTTCTTAAATAGCTAATTATTGGCAACTCATCTCACATACATAATGTTCAACCGGATACCTTTAGTAAAAACAAACCTATTTCTAAATTATAGTGTTTCAAAATATGTAATTATGATTACGAGAATTAATGCGCTCTAGATATGGAAATTGCTACTTTTAAATCACATGAATATGATGAAATTATTGGGTTTAGTGGCAGCGATTTCACATGTGTTTGTGATTTGGTACTAGACAAAGATAAATGGCATTAAAATCAAACACTATTATTTTTATTAAAGATTACGACCTTTTTTAGCGTAAGAATAATACAAAGTCGATTGTTTTGTAAAATACACACAGTCACAGGTGCGATTAAAAGAATTATCACAGGCGATGCCGCTTTTATTCCATCCCTAATGCGCTTGCGATAGTTATTAAGTACATACCTTTGAAATGCCTGCCGTTTTGACCAGGTTGCAGTGGAAGTAATCACAGGCTGACTCTTTTAGCGAGAAGTTGAAGAAATTAAGGCAAATCTAGACATTAGCATAAGAACATCATCTGCGTTTGTTAATAAGTTAGTGAGCTTAAGTAGATACCTATGTTCTGTTACGGCGTAACTTAAAAACAACGTGAATAAGTAGAGTGACTAAGAAGTAATAACTTTAATAAAAGTATATAAGTAAATATTCCATCAGTCACTCTAGCTTTCATAGTACAAGCTCTGCTTAGTTTCAAACTAGATGGCGTTGTATGTCAGATGTCCGAAAATATTATTATTATTAAATGCCCATCTTGACTACTTGCATGTTGTTTCACAAGCTTTACCACGGTCAATAATAACATTTACTCTACGAATGTGGTACGAACATTTTTATTTTACTCCTTGTCCTTTTAGAAAAAAGTAATTTCTTTAGATTTTTTTTCTTTTTAAATTTTTTTGTAATACGTGATTTTTTCTAAAAGATGTACTTAAAACTAGTTTTCGTTTGTCTTTTCTAGTGTATAAAAAAACGACGTGAGGGTCTATGGACTCCCGGTCGGAACGAAGTTCCTTTCGCTTTATGATAGACGTTTGCTGTATAATATGAAATATGAAAAAAAAAGCACCAACTGAAGTGTCGCAAAAAAGTTTTGACACATTTTTGGGTTTCGCTACGATCCGCTCAAAGCGTGTAACGCGCATAAGAAAATTCGTTCCAAAATTACATAAAGACACGAGTAAACTACTCTAAACGGGCTTATGTATCTGTACTCCGACAGATGTATTATAATATGAATTACATTTAGCTACAGCATGTTCACTTTCGTCATGCTCTATATGTTATTTAGACCCTTATATACTAAATACTGGTTGACCCGCGCAACTCTGTCCGCGTCTCTCAAAAGGATTTTTTTTCCCGTTTTCGCAATATTTTTAATTGACGGTCGGCTCCTATTGGTTACGACCAACGCTATAGTCAACATGACATCGTGCTACGGCATGATGTCATATTGCCTATAGCCTTCCTCGATAAATTGGCTATCTAACACTTAAATAATTTTTGTATTCGAACCTTAGTGGTTCGAGTTCCTGAGATTAGCGCGTTTAATCATAGACATAAACAAACTCTTCAATTTTATAATACTCGTATTAGTTTAGATATATGCACATCTAATTCTAGTAGTCTTTATTCAGTTCAAACAACACAATGCTATTGAAATGTGTATGTGGTCGTGAGCTCATCTATGAAGGAACGGGTGTTATAATCATCCAAGAAAAAAGACGAACCAGGGCCACAATTCTGCAATTTTAGTATTGTATCAATAGACTGTCGATGACCTGTCTCGGAATAGTTTTGCACTTTTCATATTCTACTAACTATGTATATAAGACATATGACTTGTCACTGAATTGCCTTTGATACAAATGTTGTCGATGTCTTTGTAATAGTTTGGTAAACGGTACACTATAAATTTGTAAGGAAATGATATATTTAATTTTCTAAATATGAAAATGTTGTTGATATATCCATTGATGACCCGTTGTCACTACATCGATGGTCTATTGACACTTGTGAGGTGATAATACGTACGTACATACGTATAAAACAATATATACTTACAATTTATATTATATTTTTTCAATGTATTCTTCTCCATCACTCTCCATACAAATTTCCATCCTCCTAAACCAGTCTTGGAAACACTTATTCCTATAGGTCAAAAATGGTTGATTCATAGGCAGGCACCGTTTGTTCGACACTGGAAAAAACTTGCCTTTTACCTTATCTTTTATCGTGCGGAATAAAAAGAAATCACAAGGAGCTAAGTCGTGGCTATAAGGTCTGTGAGGAAGGGTTTCAATATCCGATTCTTGAATAAACGTCTTTGTGTTTAAGAGTGCTGAGATGCATTGTCGTGATGCAGCATCATTCCCCGGAGCCCAGTCTTTGATCGTCTCTTCTGCACAGCTTTGAAAGCTTTTTGCAATGCGACTGTACTGTACCATTCTGAGTTAACAGACTTACAATTCTCTAGCATTGATGTTGCAAGAGATCCACTCCGTAAAAAAAAACTGGACGTTACTGGAGTAAAAACACGTGATGAAATTTGGTTGTCGTATTTTCTGCTTATAATCTAAATTTGTGATGAATTTGTGGTGATGGATTAAGAATACGGAATGTCACCACCCCTATTCATTCCATGGGTGTCGTAAGAGCCGACTAAGGGAACAAACAGCACAGGACAACAGCACTGCAAAAAGAAGGAAAACTTGAAACAAATCCTAAACCAACCCGTCTGGCCAGCGTGGTATAGTAGGCCAAAACCTCCTTTCTAAGGAGAGGCCTACGTCCAGCAGTGGACTATTATAGGCTGTTGATGATGATGATGAATATAAATTTCATTCTTAAAGATAGTCTGCGATGAATGGAGGTTTAGGTATGTAAATCGGTAAAATAAAATATTCATGAATTCCATTTCAGCGTTAAATTAAATTGAGAAAAGCATGCTGTATATAGTGTCTTAATTCTGGTCAAATGGCCTTATATTATACAACTTATATAGTATACGAGCTGTATCGCCATTGCGGAGTCAGTTTAGGTGAGAGTGTACTGCGAGAAACATGGTTGTGTTTTTATTGTTCTATCTCGGATTTACTGTAAGTACGAAACAAAATTTACTTATTTTACCGTAATTTGATTACATGGCTTTATGTGATTGAATCGTAATTGGAAATACATGACTATATAAGTGGTACTTTTTGTAATCGTGAGTATTGTTGCCTTGGTATTGCAAATGGAAATACGGGATTATGAAGTGAAGAAGTTGAATCTATAACTGGATTTATTCCAAATTAGATAACTAGTTACCAATTTTCATCCAATATATATTTTTTAATGTGGGTTTAGTCAGAAAGTTATTTAGTGTCTATTCTTATGGCAGGACTGAGACCAATTTTGTGGCCACTCACAAGAAAATGTATTATTATCTTGGAGTCTGGAGGTTATTACCCCAATACACAGTGAATTGTGTATTTGAGTTCTGAGCTATCCGCTTTCGGGTTATCAGTCGTAGAGTAGATATTGAATTTCGATAGTAAAACATTCTTGGGCTTTTCTTTCCCTTTCTAAGATCAGCAGCCATTTTGTGCGTAGTAGGTTGTAGGTAATTGTTATGTAAAAAACCACATTTGATTTTAGACTATGTTGTTATCAGTTTCTAGAGATAAATGTACATAGTTTATAATGTGGTATAGTGTAATTTTACAATAAAATCCAAGAGCTGATTCCTGTTCTAGTCCAGGCGATGAATTAAACTATTTCGTAAAGCAAACATCTAATATTTATAGTACTTATTGTATAGTAATTACAAACACACGTTGTGTATTAAAAAAGGGCTATAAAAAGAACTCGTATGTGTTGCAAACTACAAAACCAGTTTAAACAAACTTTAATAAAATGCTAATTTTCAGCTGTCAACATCAGTTGAGATCTGAAAATTAATTAAATACCTAGAAAACATCAAGACGTTTTACAATTTCGTTATCTTGTTTATAACTGTTTTGACATTAAACTAATTATATTTATAGGTTTCTACATTGCTTCAGCTGCGAAATAGTAACATAGTTATTTAAAAAAAAAAATACGTCCCACCTAGGCCGAAGTCCTGTATAAAGCTGTCTTTGTACTTTGTAGCACCTCCTAATCCCAAGCAATTAATATTTAAATGAATTTATATAGATGCATAGAAGTCGGTGGTATTTATTATTTAATAGATGGTGGTCACTGAAAAGGCAAGGTTCAACGGTTTTTGTTACTGGGCCTATTAAGGTGGAATTGTAACACCCATGTCAATTGATTAATCAATTGGGCGGCAGTAGTCGCTTTCCATCAGGAGACACGTTTGTTCGTTTACATTTTTATACAAAAATATAATTTGAAAATTAAAAAATTACAAACTGTAGTGTTATATAATATTCAATAAATGGGCTGCTTGTGAGGCTCTGAAAATCCATTTTTTAATAACTTGCGGTAAATTTTCCCAATATTATCGTACGGAACCACATGTGCACCTTAACTTCAACTCGCATTTGTTCCGATTTTAAATTAGTGTGTCACTTGAACATTTCGTAAGAGATAATCGTTAGCTCATTTATCGTGATTATATCATTACACAGATAGAGAGTTGAGAAACGATTTCACAATCGATACATAAACGAAAGGTCAAGAAATGGTACATTTATATTAGATATTTACCAAGATTAAGATAATAAATTATAAACTAATTTAAATAAAAATGACATTGGTTTTTCGTACTAAAGTTTATATGAATCGTGAGCCTTCATCCTATCCTAAATCGGATCGGATAAAGCAAAGTAGGGGCTAAAATTTATACGACCTTTTTCGGTTTTGGCACGGGCCTTTTGCTATTTTTTTTATATTATTCATTTTTATAGAAACAAACATTTTTATAGTAAGACTAGAATTGATTTTGGGACAGGAGCGGATTAACGAGCGTAAAGGTTCTTTAAAGTGTTTCATTAGGGAGGTGAATTTAGGGAAAGGACTGAATTAAGGCGGCTGTGATAAAGATTACTGTTTTGGTCGGCTGCCACCTTACAGTATTTTAAATGTTGTTATATAGAAAATTTAACAACACTACTTTTAAAATACCGTAAGGTAAGCTAAGGATGTGGACAAGGTCTAATACAAATCTCCGCTGAGTGAATGAATTTTTCTGCTGACTTACATGAATGGAATGCTCTGGGAAAGAAATATGATCATTTCCCTGTGTATCGCATGCGTTTTTAAACAATATTTTCCTTAGTGTGTCGGTCAAGGTTAATTATTGGTTGTAGCTTTTGATGGATAAATATTATGTAACAGTGTCTCTGAAGGATTGCTGATACTTATAGCTCAGGGTTTCCTATTTTAGCCACCCATGTTTGTTGAGGATTGTTTGTTTACTTGGTTTTGTGCCAGTTGGTTTTTCTTTAGTCTTCCTCTTCTCTTGTACCCTTCAGTGTATGCTACTTATCTAATAAATCATGTGTTAATAAAATTAATGTTAATAAAAAAACGACTTCGGAACGCTGCTTCAGTAATCAAATTCAAACTCAAAATATCTTTATTTCATAAAAAAATAAAATTGTTTGAAATCGTCTATTATGTAGACTCTAAAGTCGTTGATACACACAATAGCAACAATCACTGTTTTGTCAAATCATCATCACATTGGGGGTACACTGCTTATTTGCGGTATAAAGTCTTATTACCGTGGCAAAGCCACAAATAACCACAGTTTCACCGGTCTTGAGCCATTTCCTTGTTGCTTTTTACCGAGTGAGTGAAGTAGGCATGGGACAAAATCACAGTGAACTGTGCTTTCACAGTTCACTGTGATTGTGTCCACACAGTTCACTGTGATTTTGGTCTTTACCGGTGATTTGTCATTCGATTTTTTTTGTACGTAGGTTAGGGTTACTATTCTCCTACTACTACTACTAACCACGAGTTTTCAGACGATGCATAAAGAACCTATTGCACCTATTCAACAGTTAATCTAGTAATTATTTTATTATATATAGCTACCATTCCTTACATAAGCTGACATACATGACTAACATGAGCTCTACAGATCCAGATCTTCACATGTCAAAAAATACATGCTTCAAATTTTTTTAAGTCCAATATCAGGAGCGTGACATTTTGTTAGCCGTTAGTTTTTCTTTTGTTTTTTTTTATTTCCAAAAACATGTTATTTTTATTAAGTAATATTTTTAAATGTACTTTTTTTTTGTGTTGTTAGTAAGTTATTTGAACTGTTTCACACAGAAAATTCAATAGCTTCGTTCGTCGCAAACTAAAAAATAAAAATAAAAATATACCAGGTTTACTGTTAAATAGCGTCTAACCTACCTACCTAGCGACCCTAACCAAAATCACAGTTCACTGTGATTTCGTCCTATGTCTAGAGTGAAGATAGGTAGTACTCTTGAAGTGCAGGTGGCGGTAGTCACCTACCATAAGGTGAGCCGTTTTGTTACTTACCAATAATAATCTGTTGTGTCGACGTCTAGTGTGATGATGCCAGGGCCAAGTCGTATTCTAAGAAAAATGTATTAACAACTATTTACATCTTTTCAGACAGCTGCAGCTGTGTTATCACCCTGCATAGAACTGAATGATGGTAACAAGGTACCCGTAGTCGCGTTGGGTACCGGTAGAGCTACAGCTAAGGAGGTAAGTCAAATCGTCAAATATTCGGTTTAGATCACTTGATCTAAAAACAAATTATGCTAAAATTTACGATTTAAAAAAAAAATATAAGATAAGAAATCAATTTCATCGAGCCCTCACCCATATCGCCAATGTTTGAGCCATCGATCTAAGAATGTCAATTTTAGATTTTTTAAATTTAGAAAGTTGCAACCGTATTATTGTAATGCCAATAAAACATTTTGAACCATAAAACCTACTTAGTAAAATAGGGGCTCGTGGCTAAGTGGTAGCCGACATCTTTCACACCTTTCAAAGTTAGGCAATCCTAGCCAGGCCACTCTATGGATAGGTAGTTGGAGCCCTAAAAATTCCAACATCAGTCTTTTTACAGAACTTCGATATCGCCTAGCACTTGGGTTTTAAAAGTCCGACGGCAGTCGCTCCGCGTAAAAAATCGAAGTTCGGCCATATCGTAGTAGAGTTAAAGTCAACCTCAACCTAGTTTGGAGAAAAAGGCTCGGAGGAAGAAAACCTACTTAGTATTGTATTATAATAATTATGACACACCGCATAACACTGTTGCGAAATAAGTGGTAAACTATTGTATCGTATCTAACGTCAAACAAGCGCCTGTAGAAAACTAAATGTTATGATACGCTTTTCCTACGAATATTATTGTCCATATTTTAGTATACCTACAACTCGTATTTGAAAATATTATTTCAAAGTTTATATTTTCAAATATTGTGATAATAATTGATTAATATTTATAATTAAATAAATAATAGACACAAGTTTAAACACTAAACTATTTATTTTATGTTAGAGGGGGCAGATGAGCAGACGGGTTACCTAATGGCAAGTGACCCTCACCGCCCATGAACGTCTGCAACTCAGGAGTCACAAACGCGTTGACGGCCTTTTAGGAAGGAGTACGCTCTTTTCTTGAAGGTTTGAAGGTCGTATCGGTCTGGAAATACCGCAGACGATAACCCGTTGGACAAATTGGTTGAGCGGGTATAAATTCCTTGGAGTACTCTCCATGATATATGCGATAGAGAATGCAGAGTGAAGCCACATCTCTACGTAACGCCAAGGGATCGAGCCGATTTGAGATGTTTGGGCTATCGACGATTCGAGTCAGAGAGATAGAGAGAGAGAGAGAAACATATGAAATGCAAACAAATTTATTAAAAGCGTTATATTAAATAACTTTATTATAAGTGTTTAAGCGAAACGTAAAATATGAATTAGTAGGTATAGTTTTTACGTAATATATTGTTTGAAATAGATTTCATTAGAGAGATTTTCCAACCATGTACCTTATAGTTTTCTATTTAACTAATTAAATAAGATGAAAAAGTTTCTATTGCTTATAAAGAATCGTATCACCAGCGTCGTCACTTGGACGCTTAAGCTATTATAATTGCGTGTACATATTAGTTTTAAGGCAACAGTATTTAACGGCAAAAATAGACATAAATATGATTAGAGCTGGTTAAGCACAATCATGAAAATGTTTTTCTGTTTATTTCTTGGTGTTTTTTACGGGTACTTCCCTTATTAGGTGGATACTTAAACTCTCTAATCTCATTATCTAATATATTTTGTTAACTTTTACTTCTGTGTGTAATAATTACAGGATGACACTAATGATATAGTGCGCGACTCAGTCTTGTGGGCCATAGAGGCTGGCTACCGTCACATAGACACTGCTGCCATCTACGGCGACGAGGAGGAAGTAGGCCAAGGCATAGCCGATGCCATCGCTAAAGGAATAGTTACTCGAGAACAACTCTTTATTACTACTAAGGTATATTCTATAAATGTTAAATAGTATGTGAACTCAGATATTAAAGATAAATTATTTTTGCAAATAATGTTATAATGCATGTACATGGGGTCGAACAGAGAACAGTGTTCAGCCATATTTTACCTCTAGGCATGCAAAAAGAAAATATACATTCATCGTTGATTCCATTCAAGAGTTTATATGTCAATTTATATTATATCATAGCCCATCTAAACTCCACAGCATATAATAATAGTACTAGTAGTAATATTATTGTAATTTAGCTATTGAGATGTCCAGTTACAATGTCAAGTGTTATTAATAAATGTCACTGTCACATAAACACACTAAATGTCATTCGTAAAAAAATATTATAAAGTTGAGGTCATTCATCTAATAAATTAACAATATAAATAGAAGCTACCAAAAAGAATATATTAGTCTAGACTTCCTCAAGCTCTTTATCCTTCACAAACTTTGTTATATTTATTTAACTTTATGCAGTTTTGTACATCGGCGGACTTAATACCCAGGCCATTCTCTTCGAATCAACCTTATGCTATAATATAAAAAAATTAAAACTTGAGAGGTGTCAAGGGACACCCGGATGGAACGAAGTTCCTTTCGATTAATTAGTGAAGGAATTGTAATAAAAAAAAAAATTAAGTTAAAATAATATTTTTTTATTATTAACAAATATAATGTAAAAATAGAAAGACTAAACGAAAATATCTGGCTTGCTTTCTATAAGAGAGAGAGACAGACAGAGAAACATGCGGCTTTCTATAAGAGAGAGAGAGAGACAGACAGAGAAACATGCGCACGCTGCACAGCTTACAATAGCTTACTATAGCAAAAAGGGTCGTTACAACTTTTCGTGAGAATTTTTTCCGTCTAGCCCCCTTTCACAACGCGCGATAAGGAACTTCGTTCCAAAACTTCGTTCCAATAATTATATTAGATAGATAAAAATATATATTATACCTAAGTATATTATACCTAAGTATTTAACTGCTAGTAGTAGCTAGTAGTTCAAGCAGGATGTTAGTATATAACCTGTGAATATAACTAATAGTTAAAAAAAAAATTGTACCAAATTTCGATATTTGTGAAGTACTCCGGTCGAGCCGGTCCATTTGTGTCGAAGCATGGGTCTTCCACGATGCAAGCATGTTTCTCCCACAAGGCATATAACGTGATTCGTTCGAGCATATAAGCTTAATAAATTACATTCCTTTTCTACCATTGCCTTCACTTTTTATCTATCTTTGCTTTGAATTAACTTCAAATTTTCTCAAAGTGCACAATTGACGCCAATAGGTTTGCTCCAATTACGTAAGCTTAGTATGGATATATGTAGGTGTGTATTCATATTTTTCATTGTACGCAAAATATGTACGTTTTCTAATGAAAGTCTTTCATAAAATTTCAGCTTTGGAACGACAGACATGCTCGTCATCAAGTGGTGCCATCCCTGCAGGAGTCTCTCTCCAGACTGGCTCTGGACTACGTAGATTTATACCTCATACACTTCCCGATAGCTACTAAGGTGACGGATTTTTTTTTTTTTTGTATAATATTATTTTAAGTGGCAGTGGGCCGGTCATGACTCCAGGCGGACTGATGGCCGCTGTAACCGACATGTGCTAGGGTGGAAACCACGATTAGGCAAACGTAGTGTAGGGCGCCTTGCGGCACGATAGACCGATGACTTGAGGAAAATGGCTGGCAGCGGATGGATGCGGATTGCCCAAGACCGAGATAGTTGGCGCTTCGTTCAGCAGTGAAGGAATTTTGATGATACGAGATGTACCGTTCGGTGAAATTGGATTTGAACCTAAATTTCGGGCACTATAAAATTTAACCACCTGGTCGAAACATTAACTTTTAAAAAAGTATTTATCATTTCTTAATTTTCCAACTTGAACAACAAATTTGAATTGGACCAAACAGAAAATATATCCTTACCAATGAAATAAAAACAAATCTATTTAATAATGATTGCTTTACTCATTACAGAGTGACGATTCGCCCGACGACATTGATTACTTGGAGACCTGGGAAGGAATGGAGGAAGCTAGGGAGTTAGGCCTTACGAGGTCGATTGGTGTGTCCAACTTTAATGAGACGCAAATTGACAGGTTGGTTGCCAACAGCAGAGTGAAACCCGTCATCAATGAAATTGAGGTGAGTGGAACACCAGTCTGTAACAGATCTTTTTTTTAAATTGGAGCTGCGTGATTATATAAGGAGAGAATACTGACTCCGCAGATACATAACAAGTATAATTAACGTATTGCTATCACAGTTTTAGACCAGACAGTGAAAAGAATAGGAAAGTGGTTGATCTAACACAAATGTTAACCTCAACATATTGAATAGATTGATGTACGACCTGTTGCTACTTCTATCTTCAATCCTATTCTGGCAATATTATAGCCTCATAAGCTACCTTTTTTGTACATACTTTCATCCGTTATTGATGATAGTCGAAAATATTGCTTTGCAGCGCTTTTAGAACTGAATAGCTGCTGGAGCAAAGCAGTTAGATTGTCGTTTTTTAGGTATAGGGGCGAACGAGCAGACGGGTCATATGTTGATGGTAACTGACTACTGACGCCTATAGGCACTCGCAACATAAGACACACGAGAGCATTGCGGCTCTTTGAATGCCTTCTAGAGAATTAGGATTAAAAAAGGAGAGGGGGTTTGTTCTCCGGTAATTTCAATCATTCAGTGTGAAATCAACCAAAGTTGTTGCCTGTGAGGCCGTCGCAGACTAAAAACCACAATGAATACATTATACATATATTCTCGTATCAACGTCTGCCTTGACTTTTTAAGTATTTTCCGAGAATTTAACGTTTCATTGGCCTCTTACTATGTTTTAATTCCGTTGTCTTATAACAGGTAAATCCAACAAATACACAAGAAAGTTTTGTATATCACTGTCAACAACTGGGTGTTGCTGTAATGGCATACTCTCCGTTTGGGTTCTTGGTTTCTAGAAAAATATCTGACGCTCCTCCACCAAGATACGATGATCCAATACTGGTAGCTATGGCCCAGAAGTACGGGAAAACTACTGGTCAAATTGTACTTAGGTATTTGGTAAGTTGATTGTTTATTTTTCTTCTTTTAAAGCTAGTTGATGCTATTAAAACTTATTATACTTAAATAATGTTTTCAATTTAAGTTTACAATTTAATAAAGCAAAACAAAGTGTACAGAACAGACTATAAGAATTAAACGATATTGTTCTAAGCTGTTAAAAAACGAAACATTTATACATCTATCCTAATAATTTTTGGGTCGATAGCATTACCAAGACCAGATTACTGAACTTAATAAAAGTGTTTACATGCAGTCTTTTTTTACGTATTTTATATAATATAATATGTTAGAAAAAAGTGTGAGGACACCTCAGAGGTAAAAATAAAGAAAGAGGAAAGTTATTTTGAAAAAAAAACTCTTTCATCCCAATACATCCAATAAATACATATACATACCTAGGTAGATAAATAATATACTATAATTCATCACGGTTGTGATGTACCTGCGTGCTCCGCTTCACATGACATTAAAATTTAAAACTTATCAATGAAGAATAAATTAAAATAAGTGATGCACGCCGTGGTCAAGGAAAATGATTTACAAAACACATTTAAGCTCGATATCGAGTTTTTTATGAATTCTTAAAATGTCAAGTTCATACTTAGAAAAAATTATTACATAAACAGCTAGTATTGACACTGAATGAGTTTCCTTCACCTTTTATATGCAAAATCAATGTGCATAATAAAAAATACACACAGAGTGCATGCACCGCAGAATACAGATAGCATTTTTAACATAAAGTATCACCGGTGTCTTCATCATGATAAATTGTAATACTTAAACATTCTTCACTTCTTAATGTTCCATCGTTATGGCTGGTATTATTTCTCTAGTTTTGAAAAAGACCAACCGGAATGTACACTATACCAAATCACATCAATCACATCAACAGCCTTTAATAGTCCACTGTTGGAAAGAGGTCTCTCCTCAGAAAGGAGAAACCTCCTTACTAAGGAGAGGCCTATACCAAATAAAAAAAACTTTTTTCCAAATCAATTCATAAATGATTAAGTTATGATCTTACAAACATAAGAATGTCGGTTACAAATAGCTAAACTGCACTGTTCATTTCTGACTTGATTGATTTTGTCTTGGTAAAACACCGACTTCAATGCGATTTTATTCATTTATGAATTGCCTTTATTACATGTGGTTTATTAAAATGGATTTTAGTATAATCAATTAAAATTCGATTGAAAAACCTTTTTTAAATTTGGTTAAAAGTAAACTACTATAGGTAATAAACTGTTTAGGTTATGAATAAACCCGATGTTAGCAATTCCACAATTCTATCTTCTGCATAACTTAAAGATTCTTACATAGATTTTTCTTTTTCAGATCGATAGGGGATTGATTCCCATCCCAAAATCTACAAATAAGAATCGCATTGCGGAAAACATTGATTTATTCGACTTCCAGCTGACTGCCGAAGAAGTAGCAACTATCAGCGCCTTCAATAGAAACAAACGAGTAATCGACATGAAGGCGTATAAGGACTATCCTAATTATCCATTTTAGAAAAATATAATATAAATTAAATATTTTTCTTTTATTTATATTTTTATTTGGGAGAGCCAGGCTTCTGCTTTTGTGGCCAACTCTGTCAGAGTAGATACGGCCTCACAGGAAACATGTGTTAAATGAATTCTTCCCTTTTTTTCACTGACTGATGTTCACATCAACAGCCTTTACTAGTCTACTGCTGGACAAAGGCCTCTCCTTAGCAACCTCCTTTCTAAGGAGAAGCCTATGTTCAGCAGTGACTAAGGTTACCAGAGACCAAATCCCCAATTCTGGCATGGGACTAGTGTTTGTCAATTCAAGATGCAGGTGTCCCATGGGCGTTTGTCTCCTGTATTACGAAAAAAGTTCAAAAACCAGATGGGTCACTGGCTGGTAAGTGACTATTGCCGCCCTGATCAGTGGTCTCGTACTCGTCTCGTAATAAGACTCGTACTGAAGATAGTTGAAGAGTGGTGTGTGACACACAACTTGACAGTGAACCCATCTAAATCAGGGAAGTCTAGGAAATCTCTAACTTCCTAAACTATTTGAAACACAACTGACTCTTACCAAAGAGGTCAAATACCTAGGAGTAATATTAGGGATTATCACCAAAGATTACACTGTGGCTCTACAAAACAGTCATACGACCAATAATCAAGTACGATGTCATTGTCTGGTGGCAGAGAACAGAGCTAAGCACCGTCATAAATAGATTGCAGCAATTCCAGCGACTCCCATGCTCCGCGGTCACTGGCTGTATGCGCACAACGCCAACTGCCGCACAAGAGGTGGCTCTTGGTCTGCCCCCACTGGGCTTGTTCATACAGCAGGAGGCAGCCATGGCGATCATTAGACTCAGACACCTGGATCTGTGGCAGAAAGGCAAGGGATCGCACTCCGAATTGTGGGATCAATTGGTGGAATATGAGCTACTGTTAGCAGCCTCATGCAACAGGATCCCAAAACACCATATCTTCACAAGGAGATATCACATTCTGACACTAGAAAATGACCGAGATCAATCTGGCATAAACGAAGTCAGAATTTAGACGGACGGTTCCAAGACTGGGTCAGGAACTGAGCCCGAGTTTTCTCACAAGACCTAAACATGAACATATCACTAGCGTTAGGCTAACACAGTTCCATATTCCAATGCGAATGTGTGGCAATAACTTACGCCACCACAGCGGCCATGTCAAAGGGTATTAAGGACTACAACATCCGTATACTGTCAGACAGCATGGCCGTCCTTAACGCACTGGAGGGCAACAAAATGACCTCTGGTATTGTCTTCGAATGCCATGAGCACCCCAATTAAATAGCAGTGGTTTTTTTAGAGGGGGCAGACGAGCCGACGGGTCACCTGATGGAAAGTAACTATCGCCGCCCATGAACGTCTGCAACTCAGGAGTCACAAATGCATTGCCAGCCTTTTAGGAAGGAGTAAGCTCTTTTCTTGAAGTTTTGAAGGTCGTATCGGTCCAGAAATACCGCAGACGATAACCCGTTACACACATTGGTTGTGCGGGGCAAAAAGTATCTCGAAAAGCGCACAGTAGTGGAGCGCCAACTATCCAGGTAATGAGGATGAAAATTTTGCCGTGTGGAACGATGGCGGAAATCTGCGGCTGGTATTAGTCCGAACGATTCCTCGGAGCACTCTCCATGATATATGCGATAGAGAATGCAGAGTGAAGCCACATCTCGACGTAACGCCAAGGGATCGAGCTGATCGGAGATGTTTGGGCTATCGACGATTCTAGTCGCTGTTCGTTGGATGTAGTCCAAAAAGCGAAGCTGGTGCTGAGGTGCCCCTGCATAGAGATGAGAACAGTATTCCATACTCAATGCAGCCGGACTTGCACCTTATAGAGCTGAAGGCGGTGGGCCGGAGTGAAATACAAATCAGTCACAGGTGTGAAGATATGATTTATAAATCATATGATTTATAACATATGATTGTCCCATTGCATTACCGGCCTTTTAATGTCCCCCTCTCCAAAATTAGGTGGGAAGGGGAGTACAAAGACAGACGTCTTGCCCTCTATTGGATAACTTTAATCAATTTCATGGCCTTTTTGCGGTTAAATAAATTATAATAGAACTGTGATAAATGTTTCGTGGAATTTGAACAAAAAAAAAACAAAATAAAATGCCAAATGGCATTTTCTTAGGTATTGTTTTTTCCTGTTAAAATTTTAAGCTACTTTTATGGCATTTTCATTATGATATAGGTAATTATAGATGAATGAATATGGTTTACTAAGTATTGTCGTACATAACATAACCTAGTCATTGATTGACTTCAACTTTTTTTAGAACATTTTCAAGCATTCAATTAAAAAAAAGTTTAAATCGACGACCAAATTTTTTATTTATAGTACGTGATATCATCAGTATAACTTACACTGTTTGAAATTAAAAAGGTACGCAAATAACTTCTTCGTTATTCATGTAACTTATAAAAACACAGCAAATTACTAGTACTAAGATTGTTGAACTCACATAAATCAATCGACCTACCAAGTTCATTGATTTATTAAATTAGAAACCTGATAATAAAAACCTGATGTCAAGTATTAATGTTTCAACAGTTTAACGAACTTAAAAATAATCATAATATGGATATTCTCTCTTTCTTGGTAATAAAACCTATTGTTAGGAAATATATTTCAAAAAGTATGGTGTGTAAATACCTTAATTACTATTTTTTCTTTGGATGTATACGAGTACTCATTCAAGCCTTTTTAACAAACTAGATTGGGGTAGGTTTTAAGTCTACTACGATAGGCCGAACTTCGATGTCAAAGTTCAGGTGTAAAGACTATTGTCGGACTTTTAGGGCTCCAACTTTTTTTTTTCCTTTAAAAAAGAGAACTCCCGCTTTAGGAATATATCCTGTGTCGCGGGGGACTTTACGAACAAACATGAAACGGGCACAAAGAACACTCAGACTCAGAAAAACAATTTGTGGATCACACAAAGTGTCGTCCCATGTAGGGATCGAACCCACAACACTCAGCGTAGTAGGAAGCTGCGTGGCGACCGCTTAAACCACTACGTCATCCATGCAGTCTACCCGTAACGATTGCCACAGATGTTCACATTGCACCCGGGACCGACGGCTTAACATGCTCTCCGAGACATTTCTATGGATTTATATCTATGTACATATATAAAAATGTTAAGTTGGTTTGTGTATGCTTCAAAATCTCGAAAAGTTTTGCAACGATTGAGTTAAAATTTTGACACGATATACAAACCCCTACAAATATAGTTTTTATCTATTTTTCACATCAGTTTTGTTCTTCATTTCTCAGCGACGCAACAACAATGTGCTACAGCGAAGTGGCAAGGTACAGCTAGTAATATGAATATTTATACAAAGTGTACAAAGTATACAAAGTGTCACCACCCCTATTCATTCCGTGGGTGTAGTAAGAGTCTATTAAGGGGACAACTACGCAGGACCACAGCACTGCAAAGAGAAGGAAAACTTGCAACAAAGCCTATACCGGTCCGTCTGGCCAGCGTGGTATAGTAAGCCGAAACCTCCTTTTTAAGGAGAGGCCTATGTTCAGCAGTGGACTAGTAAAGGCTGTTGATGATGAGGATGATTATGAATATACTATACAATGTACATTTTTTATATATAATGTACATTCTAAAAGCATATCCATAATAATCATAAGTGATGCCCGAATAGTAACAGCAAGATATATTTGTTAACTAATTTGAATATTTTTTTCACTGCTAGGTTTGTATTATAAATCAATCTTGTGACCAACCAAAAAAATTAATTCAAAACTAGAATAAAAATTATAGAAACTGGTTCGGAGTTAAATGTTTACGGGTGGGTTTTACATTTTTCGTTAAGAATTTCGAAATTTACAACTTATAATCCTTCTATATAATAACGACAGTTGGTTAGGCGCAACATCCAGAATACCTGAGGCTAGCCGTTGGGGTTTTTTTGATAGGAACAGAACATATTCTGGCACCTGCGTCCCCAAGGAGCTGGAGATCCAAAGGGATTTTCTATCCCACCACAAAGAAAAGCAACATTAATTAAACCTATCAGATAAACCTGATAAACCTATCAGACAACTAAAAGCTGCGGGGATGCTACTTATATAAATGATATACATATGTATAGATGATGATGACTCTCTTGACACAAAATCAAAAGCGCCTGTGTCAACAGTTGTTCACGCAGGCGCTATGGCAACTAACCCCGTAGCTTTTAGTTGCCTGATAAACTTATCAGGCAACTAAAAGCTACTTATGCTAATCTTCAGTTGGGCGGTTGCGATGCATAAACTTCAGGGCACTACCCTAAAATTCCCAAAGGCAATGTTTATGTTGCGCTAAGTCGCGTAAAGATGGCTTAATGAGGGTGTTGCTCTTTGAGACTTAGAGCAACACAAAGCCAAAAAAAGCTACGATTAAGACTAATTGTAAATATTTAAATTAGAACACTAAGACAAGCTGGGTATGTAGTGCAGGTTGCTAATCCAACCCTCAGATTTTCATGTTTTTTCTTTCCTGTACATTACTGGTTACTATGTCGGCATCTTAAAGTGTCATCAACTAAGTTAAAACTTAGTTGATGACACACTCATGAGGCGGCATGATGGAAGGTTTGGTAAACCTTCCATCATGCCGCCTCACGCCGAAACAAACCACAGAGGTGTCTTTTTTTAGTCAGTCATACACAAATACGAGTACTAGATTAGCTTTAGAAAATATATGAAACACATAATACGTGCCTATAAAATTCGAGGGTTGCGATCGATTTCCCTGTGATCCCCTCATCTCAGGACTATGCTCTTTCTAGTAAAAAAAATAATTTTGGAAATCGGTCCACAATTGACGGAGTAAACATACAAAAATAAATACAAACAATGAAACATAGAACCTCCTTCTTTTTGCAGTGGGTTACAAAACTCCGCGACGGTATATGATTTTTAACGGCAGGCAGGATCGGAGCGGGACCATAAATATTGTATATA